GTTTGTAGCCTGCATTTGCCTTTGTACCAACAGTTGGATCAAGCCCAGGTTGGGGCAGACCCTCTTCCCTCAGGACTGACCAGTGTCTTTACTGCCCAATTTCTATTTTATGTTTGCTCAGGCTGCTTCCCAGAATAGCTCATGGCTCACTTCTAGACATGCCCATTCTTCAAGGGACAAGTGAAACCCTGCCTCCTCCCAGAAGATCACCTAGACCACCCCAGCCCACACTGAACTCCTTCACTGCTGAGTCTGAGGTGCCCCCCCCACCCCAGGATGTTGGCTAAATGCAGCCTCCCAGAAAGGTAACTGCTCTGGACCTCAGTTTCCTCCTCTGAACGATAAGAAGGTTGAACTTGATGACTTCTGAGTCATTCTTGGACTAAGCATTGCTTTTGAGGACAGTCCTCCAGTGAGTAAGGCTGCCTTACTAGTGAAGTGACTGACTAGCCCTGGAGGCCGCCCTGGAGGCCGCCCTGGGGCACTGGCTGGGTCAAAGAGCAGCTCACCTTCGGCTTCGGGCCCAAAGCCCAGGTGATGGTAGACTGGTGAGGATGGCCGGTCTGAGGTATCCTCAGACTTCTGCACCAAGGCCTCCCGGACAGCGTCTGGTCCATTCAGCACCACTACAGAGGCCCAGGCCATTCGGAGGCTAAAGACATCCCCAAACTTCGCCCGGAGCTGTGGAGGGAAGGGAGGGTATGGGCAGAGGGAGGTGGCAGGGCCAGGGACTCCCTGCACCTTGTGGACCTGGAGTCTCTACCCCAGGGTTCTGAATCCCGGCCCCAGGCACCTAGGTACGGCCAGGAGAAGGAGCCTCCGTGCTGGAGGGAGCAGGACATGCCCATTGTGCCCATCTAGATTGGGGTGACCAGCACCCACACAGCAACTGGACCCAGGAGCACATATGAAATATTACACGTGCCAGACAAGCAAGCTGCACGAGTCACTCCTAGGCTCAGAGAGTCAGGGCTGGAAGGACCTCAGAGGCCATTGAAGCCACCTCATTTTACAGAGGAGGAAACTGAGGCAAACTGAGGCCAAAAGTGGCTTGTCCGAGGTCACACAGCTTGAAAGTGGCAGACCTGAGATTTGAGCAGCCCAGGCTCCCTGATTTCAGATCTAGACAGTAGAGAAGGAGTAGAGAAGCAGCAGGAAGTCCCAGACAATGTAGCTAATACAAGTGCTGGGGCTACTATTGCCCCTGCCTTCAAGGAGACCGCATGCTATTCATGCAGTCTGCTTGGAGCAGAGGACAGGGAAGAGAGGAGGCTGGAGAGGGATGCGGGACTCATGCAAGCTGGGGAGGATTTCCAGCACTGTGCCGAGGCGCTTGGATTTTAGCCTAGACACAGGGCGGGGAAGCACCCGCCCTTTCTGAGCAGGGAGTGGGGTGTAGTCAGAGCCGCACTTTAGGGAGAGTCTGGGAGAGGGGAGAGGCTGAAAGCAGGGAGAGCAGTTGGCATCCAGTCAGGGGGGGGAGGACCTGAGCTAGGGAGTGGAAAGGAAAAGAGGGATGGGGGTGGGGAGGGGAGATAAACATATAAGGGAAGTGATAATCCCAGGTCCAGCGGAGAGAAAAGCCGAACTTCAGAATCAGGGCGACCTCTGGCACAATATCGGCAGTGCAATCTTGGATTGCACCCCAGAGGCTGCGGTGAGGGGGCAGTGGAAGATGGGACCAGAGAGAGTGGGCGGGGCTTTGAAAAGTGATTGGAAAGAGGGCCAAGGCTGCACCTTGAGACAGAAATGAACTTTGAAAGAAAGGGTTTGTTTCTAGAATCCCCGGGATCAGTTTGTAAGTGGTTTGGGCTAAGCCACAACTGCCCAGCAGGCACTGGGAGCCTAGAGGGTGGGGATCTGCTGATCTTCACAGGCCCCCAGGGTGGGGGGCTTCTCCCCATCCAGGGAACTGTCCGTGCGTCCTCTGCCCAACCCCGCCCCCACCGGCCCCCTTACCTGTCTGAAGGAGCCGTGGAGATTCTGAAAGTCTATTTGGAGCATGTTTCCCAGCAGGGGTATCCTGGTGGGGCCCGGAGGATAGCGGGGGGACGTCCGCCACCATTCTGAGATCTCCAAGAGGAACAAGAAGACAGTGAGGGCCAGGACCATGGTGGTCAGGGTCTGCCAGCAGAACAGCTGGGCTGCGAGTGCCATGTTTTCCCCGTCCCTGGCCCACGCTAAAGACCCTGTTCCTCCTCCTCCTCTTCTTTCCTTTCTCTCGAAGCCTGACCCCGACTTTTATCCAGCTCCTGAGGGTGGAGACCAAGCCTGGGATCCTCCTCAGATAGCAACTCCCCTCTCCCTCTCCTATCTGTAGCCCGGCTCCTCTTAAAGGAGGAGGAGGCCTGGGCAGCTGCAGCTGCTGGAAATCTGCCCATAGAGGCAAAGGGATTGAATTTAATCCCAAAGGACTCTGCCCTGGGAGTCAGGGGAGGAACCTTGACTCTGACACCACCTACCTACTCCTACTCTCGAGGAGCCTCCGTGTCCTCATCTGTAAAATGGGGACAGTCCTCTGTACCTCACTTACAGCAGAGTTTTAGGGTCGAACCTCACAAAGCACCCCCAGCCCCAGAGTGTGGTATTGACTGAGCATCTGTTAACGCCTCTTGTGGGCAGCCGGATACCATGGACAGCGCAACGGGGACTGACTGAAGCCCTCAGGCAAGCGGCTTCCCTTCTCTGGGTCTCAGTAGCCTTTTGGGTAAATTTCTTGCCGAAGGCCACTGAGTGAGTTAGTGTGAGAGAGGAGACTCTAGGCAGCCCGGGGTCCTGATCTCCAGGTCAATGTTTCTTTTTTCTTTTTCTTTTTGTTTTTTTTTAGGCAATTGGGGTTAAGTGACTTGCCCAAGGTCACACAGCTAGTAAGTGTCAAGTGTTTGGTCTGAGGCTGGATTTGAACTCAGGTCCTCCTGACTTCAGGGCCGGTGCTCTATCCACTGCGTCATCTAGCTGCCCCTCAGGACAATGTTTCTCCTTGCCTGCTTAGCTGGAGTGTGTCCAGAGGAGGTAAGCAGGGTGGTGAAGGGCGTATGAGAACTGGCTTGAAGGAACTGGGCATGTGCAGTTTGGGGAAGGGAGTGGGATGAGGAGGAGGAGGGAAAGGGCATGGCAGCTGTGTTCAAGCACCTGGAGGGCTCTCGCGGGGAGGAGGGATTGGACCAGTTCTATTAGACCCCAGAGGGTGGAAGTGATGGGGGAGGGGGAGATTTCAAAAGATTCAATTTAGGGAAAAAAAAGAGCTGCCCTAAAGTGGATTGGCTCATCCTGGGAAGCGGTGGGTTCCCCTCCTTGGAGGTCTCCAAGTAGAGGCTAGACAAGCACTCATCAGATATGTCAAGAGGGGACTTCTTTGGGGTATGGGTTGGACCGTATGGCCTGAGGTCCCTTCCGACTCTCTCAATCTGTGATTCTGGGAAGTGATGCAGGACTTTTACGGGTTAGAACAGAGACAGATCCCAGAAACTCGCCCCTGCTTAGAGCATAGAACCCAAAATGTCAGGTAACACGCCACAGGATCCAAGCTCCGGTCAGCTCTGGTTGAGGACTGCTTTCTTCTTCTCCCAGATGTCTCATGCCCTCCAGACCACCCAGGATGGGCCATAAAATCAGGGCCTGGGTCCCTTCTTGCTGAAGGGAGCAGGGGATGCTAAAATGTGGCAGGCCAGGTCACAGAGTCAGGCCTGGACACAGGCACGTGGAGCCAGAAAGCCAGTCTGGCCAGCGGAGATGGAAAGGTGGTCTGAGAGCACCCCGTGAAGAGGGAGGCACTTTGGTTTGATCCCAGAGGCCACAGGAAGCCCCTGGAGTTTGTGGGGTGGCAGCAGGGTGACACGTTTAGATTTTGTCAGCCTGTGGAGGACTGACCAATGAGGCCACTAGAAAGGGCCAGCGGTGATGGGAGGAGGACCTGAACGAGGGCTGCGTCAGTCTGAATGGCGTGCAGGCAGGAATGGAAAAGTCAGGCCGGGTGCCTGACCCAGGGACCTGTCACGGTATTTCTGCTCGCCGCCTCATCCCATGTCTTTTCTCTGCACCTCGACGGTAAGCACAGTGAGGTTGGGGCCACAGCCCAGTACCCTGCCCAAAGTAGGCGCTCTAAGCCTGCTGACTTTGTGGATTTCCCTGAAAGGAGACGAGAAGTCAAAGGCTGAGATGTCCTGTCTCCAATTTTCCTGGCTCCGTGAAGAACCCCCCACCCCCACCCCCTTTCCACAGCTCCAAATGGCCGCGTTTTCTCTTGTGGTATCTTTCCAATTTCATCCATCCCTTTTCTATCCCGGCTTCGTGCCTGGTGCTCCTGCTGGCATAAGGTCAGGAGGCTTTCCTTCGGGCACTCTGGCCTCAACTCCTTTTAATCCACGATGGTCTTGTCCTCCCATAGAATGTCCACTCGCTTCAGCGACAGTTTTATTTGAAGGGTCATTCAGCCCGGTCAGCCCTCCCCCCTCCTACAACACTTCCTTGCTTTCTACACACGGAGAACACGAGCTGGATGCTTGTCCACCGTGACACGGCAAAGAGCACGCAGGAGCAGGGCTGGAGGCCACCCCTCGCTCCAGGGCTGTTCTCTTAGAGCCACGATGCTCGGGAGAGGATGTCCTCCAGAAAGGTCAGCGCAGTCAACCAGCAAGCAGAGATGACACAGAGATCAACAACAGACTGTCCCTGGAGCCCAGTGAGTGGACGCCCTAGTGGCCCCCAGGGAAAGGCCAAGGTCACACTCTGTCTGTGGATGGCTTGATGAACAGGAGCAATCTGAAGGGACGTTGGGGAGCCATCACTGGCCTCCCCTGGACCCCCAAGGGCTCAGCGAATCTGAGCTCTGAAGCTTCGTGCCTCCACTGTGCTGGGCCTGTTTCTTCATCAGTAAAATCAGGCTGTTGGGCAGGATGGATCCTCTAGATTTCTGAGGCAATGACCCTCCAGACACTGGAGGATTTGGGTGACCACGACAACAGCAATAAAAACAACCCCAACAGACCCCAAAATTCAGATCAAATGCAATGACCAGCTGGGGTCCAGGGGACACCACGGCTCAGCATTAACAAGTGACAAGGGCACAAGAGGACCGGGACCCCAAGGAGAGGCTGAAAGTGGGGGACACACATCCATCCCCTCCCTCACTGTTTCTGCTCTTTCTACTCCAGGGAACCACAGGAGAAACAGGGAAGAAGAAAAAGAGGTGAGAACAACAGGGCCCCCTGCTTACCTGCATCGATGGCACACGGGTAATGGTACCGGAAGGAGCAGCCTTTGTTGTAGCAGCCTAAGGTGGCGCCTGGCTCCTGGCAGTGGGAACATTTCTGAAAGGAACGAAGGGGTGAGAGGGGTCAGTTAGCTGCATGAGCGAGCTCTCGCCTGCTCACTTCTCCCCAACCTCAGCATGACTGGAGTTACTGCACTCACGTCCTGACCACGATCCACCTGACCTCCATTCTAAACCGATCCTTGACAGGCCCCAGCAACCAGGCCAAGAGGCTCCGTAAGCAGAGGGCAGAGGTCACTGGCTTTGGCCACTGGGGGAGAGTCTCCCCTCGGAGGCCGCCGTGAGGACCAAATGAAAGCACTATTAGAAATACGTCACCTCTTATCAATTACTATTACTGTACACTCTTCCTGCTCCTCCATCCCTCTACCGCCCCTATTCTGGACTGCCCCTGGAGTCGGAGAACGGCCCAAAGGCGCAAGAGCTCAGAGGGCATCGAGGCCAATGGAGATCTCAGCCCAAATCTGCTCTGGGCAGCATCCCTGACATCCACCTGGCCTTCCCAAGAGCTCCCGCTATGAGTCAGCTTCTGTTGTTAGCAACTTGGCCTTCAGAGCTTTCTCAATCACTTCTAATGCATAAGAACCAAGGGGAACGGTCAGTCAGGCAATCAATAAGCATGATTAAGTGCCCACTCTGTGCAGGGATACAAAAAGAGGCAAAACACAGACTGAGCCCCCAAGAAGCTTGCAGTCTAACGAGAGAGGCAATAGGCAAACATGTACGTGCACACAAAATATAGGCAGGATAAATTGGAAATAATCAATAGAGAGATGGTACTAAGATTGAGGGCTGGGAAAGGAAGTCAGAATGGAAGGCAGGAAGTAGAGATGAGGGGGAGGCCAGCAGGGAAAAAAGCGTGCAGATGAGGAGCTGCCAGAAGGCAGGTGTCACCGGGGAGAGGGGATTAAGTAGAAAGGTGGGAGGGGGCCAGGTTGGGAAGGGCTTTAAATGACAAACACTGGATTTATTTTTGATCTTAGAAGTAACAGGGAGGCACTGGTACAGCTGTACTTTTACTCTTTAAAAATTAAAAACAGTTTTATTTTTAATTCTTATTTTTGATTGGCCAAAATTGGAAGCAGATTTTTCAGCTACTTATCCCAAATCTCGGAAGTCCCTTCCACCTCTGAGTCCTAAGATACCCTGGTACCTCAGTTTCCTCATCTGTAAAATGGAAAAGAACACTTGAACTCACCCTCTTACAGGGTTATAGTGTGGATTCAAATGAGACTCTTAAGCCATCAAGTGCGCAACACACATGCCAGCTGTTTTCCTAATGGATTGACTTCTCTGCATCAAAGTGAATTTCCACACATATAAACGTACCAGGGAACAAAGACTGAAAGGAGTCTCCCCCTCAAAGATGTCACGATGCAACACCCCCCCCCCGCCAGGTTCTGCACGGGCAGATTTCTATAGTCAGGTTTTCTTCAAGGGAAGTGAGGAAGCCCCAGAGAGGTGGGAAGGCTGGGAACACTGACTGTTCCTCCAATGAGGACAGAATGACGTTCAGGTACAACTCAGCAGATGATACGAACTTCTGAAGAAAGCTGAATTCGAACGTTTTGGAGTCTACATAGAAAAGTTAAGCCACCAGTGGTCAACAGCTGGTTTCAAGCCTATGCCTTAGGCATAATCGTGAGAACGACAAAAAAATATATAATCATGAAAAAGAAATTAAGACTTTAGGAAGAAAAGTGCAACAGCTCAGTGAACTCCCTCCCTGCCTGCCCTGGTTGAGCTAAGAGAAGCGATGGTTCACAAACAGCTTGGTCTTCTGGAGATCCACTGGTGAGGAGCTGAGCTGGGAACTAGCCCAGGCCCTTCTAATCTTTCCAGAGGGGAATCCAGCTGAAAAGCACCACCCAGAAAAAGCAGCTTCCTAATTATAACCCTTCCTTTCCAGAGACTCCAAAGCCCTTCTCTATTTCCTGGCAGCTCAGGCCATAGAGGTTTACAGTTTGCCTTCAAAACCATCAGCAGGTTATGGCCCAGCGGGAAGGATGGGACTCATGCTCACGGGGTCTTCAGCAGACACC